ATATGAAATAGTAGTTCCACCCTCTAACTCATGGCAAAGGTATATGCACCACAAGATTTGCTGAACAGAATTAAAAATATATTTTCAAGTAACTATGTTAACAAAATTATCATTTTTTATTACAGATGTCTGCTTGGAGTTCCACTTTAACATCCAGAAGTTTGACCCTGGTCTGCATGAGTGGATGCTGCGGCAAACATTACACCCCAATCCCACCGCAAATACATAAGGCTTCTTGTGAAAGTAACGGCATGTCCGTCTCTGGACAGAAATAGATCCTGCACGGAGCAACTCATGAAACTTGCAGCCCTGTGATGAGACCTCGTACACTAGTAGATGTGATAGAACACATAGCAGATGCATAATATGTCCTCCTATCCAGATCACGGTGACCAGTCACTCTTTGTTCTCACTTGGGAAACTTACCATGATTCTGGAGGACCAGACAGTGATTACAGAGTGTGCAGAGAATGACTGAGGTGGTGACGCATGCAGGCTGCTAGGCCTGCTCTCGTTAAATAATTGATGACGGATAGGAGCACTACAGCAGTGGAGTCTGCCTAATGTAGAACCGTCATCTAAAAATCAGACTTGCAGGGGGAACATGTGGCTGCTTCGAAATTAGTATGTGAGTATTCTTACATGGACATCTGTCAATGCGTTACATTTAAAAGGCAAGAGCTCAGATTGGTGATCAGACAAGAGACAGTCGTTAACGTTTGCCAACTGTCTTTGTCTGCAGGTCAGGCAATAAACATTTTATGTCAATGTATAACATTCCGTATTGTAGTGAACAGCAAGCCCTTTCCAGGTAAGAAGACAATCCATTTATTTTGTGTATAATATGTATGAAAGCTGTGTTGCTGGTTGTGAGCTTTATGTTCGTTATCACACAGACAATACATCCAATTAGTGGGCCCTGTACAGAACCAAGCAGCTGTTTAAAGGGACCCTGTCATTAAAACAATGTTGTGTCTGTATAACTGTAGAGTTTATTTTTGTGTGTGCATGAATATTTCAATAAAATCAGTGTCCTTTTAACCGCTTCAGTGCCAGCCTGTTACACCCCCTTCATTAACAGCCCAGTTTTCAGCGCTGTGCAAGTTTTGGCTGAGAATTCCTCCCTCATGCAAAATGTATTTTTATATCATTTTCTTGCAGCAAATAGAGCTTTCTTTAAGTGGTATTCAATAACATTTTTGTTTTTTACTTTATACAGTAAAAAAGACCAAAAAAAAAAATTGAAAAAGCCGGTTTCTCTTACTTTTGCTTATAAATGGTAATAAATAAAATGTTAGGACAGTATAAAAATCCCTGAAATGACCCCTTTTTGAAAAGTACACACTCCAAGGTGATCTGATTGTTTTTTGGCCGCAATTTTTTGGAAATTAAGAAACATGCCGGTATTGAGGGGGTTAAAACATGGAGCTTGGTAACAGTGTGCAAGATGCAATAAATGTACCGGTCATAGAGAGGCAGGCGGAGGTGAAAGGGTTCATGTACAAGTCACATACAGTGGGAGGATGGAGATGAAGGGGTTGATGTGCAGGAGAAGGGAGGTGAAATGGTTAATATACAGGTGACAGAATG